ACTCCCACACACACACCACGCACTCTCACACACACCACGCACTCCCACACACACCACGCACTCTCACACACACACCACGCACTCCCACACACACACCACGCACTCCCACACACACACACCACGCACTCCCACACACACCACGCACTCCCACCCACACACCACGCACTCCCACACACACCACGCACTCCCACCCACACACCACGCACTCCCACGCACACCACGCATTCCCACACACACCACGCACTCCCACACACACACCACGCACTCCCACACACACCACGCACTCCCACACACACACACCACGCTCTCCCACACACACACCACGCACTCCCACACACACACACCACGCACTCCCACACACACCACGCACTCCCACACACACACACGCACTCCCACACACACACCACGCACTCCCACACGCACTCCCACACACACCACGCACTCCCACACACACACACCACGCTCTCCCACACACACACCACGGACTCCCACACACACCACGCACTCCCACACACACACACCACGCACTCCCACCCACACACCACGCTCTCCCACACACACCACGCACTCCCACACACACACCACGCACTCCCACACACACCACGCACTCCCACACACACCATGCACTCCCACACACACACACACCACGCTCTCCCACACACACCCCACGCACTCCCACACACACCACGCACTCCCACACACACCACGCACTCCCACACACACCACGCACTCCCACCCACACACCACGCACTCCCACACACACCACGCACTCCCACACACACCACGCACTCCCACCCACACACACCACGCACTCCCACACACACACCACGCACTCCCACCCACACACCACGCTCTCCCACACACACCACGCACTCCCACACACAACACGCACTCCACACACACCACGCACTCCCACACACCCCACGCACTCCCACACACACCACGCACTCCCACACACACCACGCACTCCCACACACCACGCACTCCCACACACAACACGCACTCCCACACACACCACGCACTCCACACACAACACGCACTCCCACACACACCACGCACTCCCACACACACCACGCACTTCCCACACACACACGCACTCCCACCAGCACTACCACAGCAATCCCAACCCACCACGCACGTCCCAACACACAACACGCACTCCCACACACAACACGCACTCCCAACACACACCACGCACTCCCACACACACACCACGCACTCCCACTCCACACACACCACTCACTCCACACAACACCACGCACTCCCACACACACACCACGCACTCCCACACACACCACGCCACTCCCACACACAACACGCACTTCCCACCCACACACCACGCACTCCCACACACCCCACGCACTCCCCACACACCACACCACGCACTCCCACACACACCACGCACTCCCACACACACAACGCACTCCCACACACACACCACGCACTCCCACACACACCACGCACTCCCACACACACACCAGCACATCCCACCACACACACCACCACGCACTCCCACACGCACTCCCACACACACCACGCACTCCCACACACACACACCACGCTCTCCCACACACACCAACGCACATCCCACACCACACCACCAGCAACTCCCACACACACCACGCACATCCACACACACCATGCACTCCCACACACACCACACACCACGCTCTCCACACACACACCACGCACTCCCACACACACCACGCACTCCCACACACACACACCACGCACTCCCACACACACACCACGCACTCCCACACACACCACGCACTCCCACACACACCACGCACTCCCACACACACCACGCACTCCCACCCACACACCACGCTCTCCCACACACACCACGCACTCCCACACACAACACGCACTCCCACACACACCACGCACTCCCACACACACCACGCACTCCCACACACACCACGCACTCCCACACACACCACGCACTCCCACACACACCACGCACTCCCACACACAACACGCACTCCCACACACACCACGCACTCCCACACACAACACGCACTCCCACACACACCACGCACTCCCACACACACCACGCACTCCCACACACACCACGCACTCCCACACACACCAGGCACTCCCACACACAACACGCACTCCCACCACACACCACGCACTCCCACACACACCACGCACTCCCACACACACACCACGCACTCCCACACACACCACGCACTCCCACACACACCACGCACTCCCACACACACACCACGCACTCCCACACACACCACGCTCTCCCACACACAACACGCACTCCCACCCACACACCACGCACTCCCACACACCCCACGCACTCCCACACACACACCACGCACTCTCACACACACCCACGCACTCCCACACACACCACGCACTCTCACACACACACCACGCACTCCCACACACACACCACGCACTCCCACACACACACACCACGCACTCCCACACACACCACGCACTCCACCCACACACCACGCACTCCCACACACACCACGCACTCCCACCCACACACCACGCACTCCCACGCACACCACGCATTCCCACACACACCACGCACTCCCACACACACACCACGCACTCCCACACACACCACGCACTCCCACACACACACACCACGCTCTCCCACACACACACCACGCACTCCCACACACACACACCACGCACTCCCACACACACCACGCACTCCCACACACACACACGCACTCCCACACACACACCACGCACTCCCACACGCACTCCCACACACACCACGCACTCCCACACACACACACCACGCTCTCCCACACACACACCACGGACTCCCACACACACACGCACTCCCCCACACACACACCACTCACTCCCACCACACACCACGCTCTCCCACACACCCACGCACTCCCACACACACACCACGCACTCCCACACACACCACGCACTCCCACACACACCATGCACTCACACACACACACCACGCTCTCCCACACACACCCCACGCACTCCCACACACACCACTCACCACACACACCACGCACTCCCACACACACCACGCACTCCCACCCACACACACCACGCACTCCACACACACCACGCACTCCCACCACACACACCACGCACTCCCACCCACACACACCGCACTCCCAACACACACCACGCACTCCCACCCACACACCACGCTCTCCCACACACACCACGCACTCCCACAACAACACGCACTCCCACACACACCACGCACTCCCCACACACACCACGCACTCCCACACACACCACGCACTCCCACACACCACGCACTCCCACACCCACGCACTCCCACACACAACACGCACTCCCACACACACCACGCACTCCCACACACAACCACGCACTCCCACACACACACCACGCACTCCCACACACACCACGCACTCCCACACACACCACGCACCTCCCCACACACACCCACGCACTCCCACCACACACCACGCACTCCCACACACAACACGCACTCCCACACACACCACGCACTCCCACACACACCACGCACTCCCACACACACACCACGCACTCCCACACACACCACGCACTCCCACACACACCACGCACTCCCCACACACACACCACGCACTCCCACACACACCACGCACCTCCCACACACAACACGCACTTCCCACCCCACACACCACGCACTCCCACACACCCCACGCACTCCCACACACACACCACGCACTCTCACACACACCACGCACTCCCCACACACACCACGCACTCTCACACACACACCCCGCACTCCCACACACACACCACGCACTCCCCCACACACACCACGCACTCCCACCCCACACACCACGCACTCCCACACACACACCACGCACTCCCACACACACCACGCACTCCCACACACACCACGCACTCCCACGCACACCACGCACTCCCACACACACATCACGCACTCCCACACACACACCACGCACTCCCACACACACCACGCACTCCCACACACACCACGCACTCCCACACACACCACGCACTCCCACACACACACCACGCACTCCCACACACACACCACGCACTCCCACACACACACCACGCACTCCCACACACACCACGCACTCCCACACACACCACGCACTCCCACACACACACCACGCACTCCCACACACACACCACGCACTCCCACACACACACCACGCACTCCCACACACACCACGCACTCCCACACACACCACGCACTCCCACACACACCACGCACTCCCACACACACACCACGCACTCCCACACACACATCACGCACTCCCACACACACCACGCACTCACAACGACACAGATCTCCCCTATAGCCTTAACAGACTATTGAGGCAAGTGCTGTTAGCGAGCACCTATGAAGGACGGCACGGCACACGAGGGGGTGGGTGGCCAACACCACGCCCGACCGCCTTTGTATCCCCAGTGGCAATGTTTACACACAGCACCAGGTACTCGTTTGAGGCTGAGTCGACCTCGAGCAGGCCCAGGACCGATTCAGATAATCGTCACTGGTGTTGGTTTCCGTGAGCGGTAATCGAACTCGGGTCGCCGGGTTCGTAGGCGCAGCGTAGCGCGAACCGCTACACTGCTCCGCTCGCATGCGTACAGCAGATAGCATAGACACACAGCATACACACATCAGAGACACACAGCATACACGCACAGCATAGACAGCACACACACAGCAGGGACACACAGCATACACACAGCATAGACACACACAGCACACACAGCATACACACACCATAGACACAGCATACACACAGCATAGACACACACACAGCATAGACACGCACAGCATATACACAACACAGCATAGACACACACACAGCATAGACACACACGGTACAGACACACATCACAATATCCCACCGCTGGCCCCGCCTCTTCGCAAGGCAGTAGCCAATGAAGAGCCGCCGCTGTGCGCCTCGGGGCGGGGCCAGCCCCACGTCGGGGCGGGGCCGCGCTTATAAAAGCCGCGCCGGGCACGCGCGGCCTCCACACGCGGGGATCGCCGCGCGCCGTGGCCGCAGAGCAGCTGACGCCCCTTCCTCGTCCTCACCCTCCACGTGCTGCTCAGAGATTTAAAGGGATCTCGGCATTCCAGCCAGGCGCCCGGGATCTTAGAGGCACTTTGCGTCGCCGAGTTTTTATTTCAGTATTCTGGGGGTTTTGTTTGACGTCAGAAGAGGAGAGAAAGTTTTTGCGCGCGAGGATGATGGCGTGCGGGGTGAGTGGCGGAGCGAGCACCCTCACCACCGTAGTCACCCTCCCTCACTGCAGCATTCATTCACATCTCCTGTCATTCCCCTGCTCCACTCACTCCCCCTGCTCCACCCACTCCCCCTGCTCCACCCACTCCCCCTGCTCCACCCACTCCCCCTGCTCCACCCACTCCCCCTGCTCCACCCACTCCCCCTGCTCCACCCACTCCCCCTGCTCCACCCACTCCCCCTGCTCCACCCACTCTCCCTGCTCCACCCACTCCCCCTGCTCCACCCACTCCTCCTGCTCCACCCACTCCCCCTGCTCCACCCACTCCCCCTGCTCCACCCACTCCCCCTGCTCCACCCACTCCCCCTGCTCCACCCACTCTCCCTGCTCCACCCACTCCCCCTGCTCCACCCACTCCCCCTGCTCCACCCACTCCCCCTGCTCCACCCACTCCCCCTGCTCCACCCACTCCCCCTGCTCCACCCACTCCCCCTGCTCCACCCACTCCCCCTGCTCCACCCACTCCCCCTGCTCCACCCACTCCCCCTGCTCCACCCACTCCCCCTGCTCCACCCACTCCCCCTGCTCCACCCACTCCCCCTGCTCCACCCACTCCCCCTGCTCCACCCACTCCTCCTGCTCCACCCACTCCTCCTGCTCCACCCACTCCCCCTGCTCCACCCACTCCCCTGCTCCACCCACTCCCCCTGCTCCACCCACTCCCCCTGCTCCACCCACTCTCCCTGCTCCACACTCCCTGCTCCACCCACTCCCCCTGCTCCACCCACTCCCCCTGCTCCACCCACTCCCCTGCTCCACCCACTCCTCCTGCTCCACCCACTCCCCCTGCTCCACCCACTCCCCCTGCTCCACTCACTCCCCCTGCTCCACCCACTCCCCTGCTCCACCCACTCCCCCTGCTCCACCCACTCCCCCTGCTCCACCCACTCCCCCTGCTCCACTCACTCCCCCTGCTCCACCACTCCCCCTGCTCCACCCACTCCCCCTGCTCCACCCACTCCCCTGCTCCACCCACTCCCCTGCTCCACCCACTCCCCTTGCTCCACCCACTCCTCCTGCTCCACCCACTCCCCCTGCTCCACCCACTCCCCCTGCTCCACCCACTCTCCCTGCTCCACCCACTCCCCCTGCTCCACCCACTCCCCCTGCTCCACCCACTCCCCCTGCTCCACTCACTCCCCCTGCTCCACCCACTCCCCCTGCTCCAACCACTCCCCCTGCTCCACCCACTCCCCCTGCTCCACCCACTCCCCCTGCTCCACCCACTCCCCCTGCTCCACTCACTCCCCCTGCTCCACCCACTCCCCCTGCTCCACCCACTCCCCCTGCTCCACCCACTCCCCCTGCTCCACCCACTCCCCCTGCTCCACCCCCTCCCCCTGCTCCACCCACTCCCCCTGCTCCACTCACTCTCCCTGCTCCACTCTCCCTGCTCCACTCTCCCTGCTCCACCCACTCCCCCTGCTCCACCCACTCCCCCTGCTCCACCCACTCCCACTCCCCCTGCTCCACCCACTCCCCCTGCTCCACCCACTCCCCCTGCTCCACCCACTCCCCCTGCTCCACCCACTCCCCCTGCTCCACCCACTCCCCCTGCTCCACCCACTCCCCCTGCTCCACCCACTCCCCCTGCTCCACCCACTCCCCCCTGCTCCACCCACTCCCCCTGCTCCACCCACTCCCCTGCTCCACCACTCCCCCTGCTCCACTCACTCCCCCTGCTCCACCCACTCCCCCTGCTCCACTCACTCCCCCTGCTCCACCCACTCCCCCTGCTCCACCCACTCCCCCTGCTCCACCCACTCCCCCTGCTCCACCCACTCCCCCTGCTCCACTCCACTCCCCCTGCTCCACCCACTCCCCCTGCTCCACCCACTCCCCCTGCTCCACCCACTCCCCCTGCTCCACCCACTCCCCCTGCTCCACCCACTCCCCCTGCTCCACCCACTCCCCCTGCTCCACCCACTCCCCCTGCTCCACCCACTCCCCCTGCTCCACTCACTCCCCCTGCTCCACTCACTCCCCCTGCTCCACTCACTCCTCCTGCTCCACCCACTCCCCCTGCTCCACCCACTCCCCCTGCTCCACCCACTCCCCCTGCTCCACCCACTCCCCCTGCTCCACCCACTCCCCTGCTCCACCCACTCCCCCTGCTCCACCCACTCCCCCTGCTCCACCCACTCCCCCTGCTCCACCCACTCCCCCTGCTCCACCCACTCCCCCTGCTCCACTCACTCCCCCTGCTCCACCCACTCCCCCTGCTCCACCCACTCCCCCTGCTCCACCCACTCCCCCTGCTCCACCCACTCCCCCTGCTCCACCCACTCCCCCTGCTCCACTCACTCCCCCTGCTCCACCCACTCCCCCTGCTCCACCCACTCCCCCTGCTCCACCCACTCCCCCTGCTCCACCCACTCCCCCTGCTCCACCCACTCCCCCTGCTCCACCCACTCCTCCTGCTCCACCCACTCCCCCTGCTCCACCCACTCCCCCTGCTCCACCCACTCCCCCTGCTCCACCCACTCCCCCTGCTCCACTCACTCCCCCTGCTCCACCCACTCCCCCTGCTCCACTCACTCCCCCTGCTCCACTCTCTCTTTACTCTCGCATCCCTTGCACCTCCCGGCTGCATCCCTCCGCTATCTCCACCCTCCCACAGCGACACCCGCCTCATCACCGCCCCCGTCACCACCAACCTCACCCCGTCCCCTCTCCCCTCTCGACCCCTGGTCGATGCGCGTGACCTTGGCCCTGCCCCGGGTCGGGGCCGTGTTTCTCGCCCTGATCGACTCCCTCCGCCGCGGGTCACCGTCACCACCACCACCATCGTAGCCCTCACGCAGACACGGGCTGCACCTGGTGCCGCTGAATGTAGAACTCCTGATGCCTTCACGCTCCAATAAACCCATCCAGTGTTGTCACGGTTGCCCTGACCACTGCTTCTATAGCAATCGCTACAGTCATGTGCGCTATATATATGAAATGTGTAATGGTATACGTGCAACGGTCGATGTTTGAGTAGCAAGGTCTCATACGTTGGGGTTCGCAGATTGCCGTGCCACATCGGTGTCCAACAGCCCTGTGTGTGTGCGTGTGTCTGTGTGTTTGTCTGTGTGTGTGTGCGTCTCTGTGTGTGTGTCTGTGTGTGTGTGTCTGTGTGTGTCTATGTGTGTGAGTGTGGGGAGCGGCAGTGGAGCGGTTAGCGCTACGCTGCACTACGAACCCGGCGACCCAAGTTCGATTCCCGCTCACGGCCAACACCGGTGACGATTATCCGAACCGGTCACGGGCCTCCGCTAGATCGACTCAGCCTCAAACGAGTACCTGGTGCGGTGTGTAAACATCGCCACTGGGGAGACATGCTACCGGGCGTGGTTGTTGATCACCCGCTCCCTCGTGTGCCGTGCCGGCCTTCATAGGTGCTACTCGCTGACGGCACTTGTCCCAACAGTCGGTTCAGGCTATACGGGGGATCTTTGTGAGAGTGCGTGTGTGTAAAGCACAGCAAGTTGGCACAGTAGGGGGCACAGGTGGTGCATCAGCCACTCATCTCAGTCTTCTCAGTCGACCCGTGGCACCTGGGACTGCCCCGTGACCTCCTGCCAGCGGGCGTTCGACACTTCACGTGGCCTCAAGGTGCACCTAGCCTGGCACAGGCGTCGTGGTGACGTCACCGCCACTTAGTGGCGAATGGCGGTTGTTGTTGTTGTGTGTACGAGCCTATGGCTGTAGGAGTTGTGTGGTGTGTGGAGCGGTTGCGGAGTTATGGTCCCCTCACTTCGCTACGAACTCGAGACGGCTCCCCGCGTTCGATCGCTAGCGTCAGAGGGATGTCTGCAGGGCCGTCCATCACGGGACGGGGTTTTTGTGTTTTCCACCCAGCGATGGGAATTCTACCCCGCGGGGCCCGGGGTAAACCCCACTGCGTGGGCGGCCCCCCAACGCCTTCAAACTAAACCGAGAGAAGCATGGCATCTGACACCGTGACGTCGAAGCGTGCCCACCTCCCTCCCCCCAAAGCGCGGGGCCCGAGGCGGTCGCCCCCATTCGCTGTTTACCCTCGGGACGGCTCTGGATATCTGAATATGTTTTGGGACCCCCATGACCAGCACGGACTGGGGGTGGGGGGGGACGTTCATCCAGCAGTGGATTGACACTGGGCTGTGCACGTGATTACACGCGCGTGGTTGTGTATCGCGGAGTGATTGTCAAATGGGGTAGAGGCGCAGCCTTGCAACCGCTCACTCGCCCCACTGCTGGCGGAGGGGGCCTGCACACGAGGGGGCTAGAGGGGAGATCCTATAGGGGATTTCGTGGCCGCCTCTTCAGTCCTTCAAGAGGCACCCACCCACACGCCACGCCGCCGCACGAGACCTGCCGATCGATTAGCCAAGCCCTCTGAGATGAGAGTGCGGGGTGACTTGAACTTTGGAATCGCACGCTCCACTCCTGTTGGGCTGCCGCACCGTGCCCACGGTAAACGAACGACGACGATGTTGTGCGCAGCGCATTCCGTACGCCGAGTGGCGTTCACCCGCTTTCCCTTGGCTTTGACGTCAATCTCTTAAAAAACCGCATCAACACAAGGTCACGTGTTTGATGCTTTGACCTTAAACCTCCTGGATGACATAACGTTACAAGAACGGTTTCTAGCAACTTTAGAGGAAACAACAATCGAGCTTTTGTCCTTCCAGTGCCACGGTCTTTAGCCAGCGGGAGGAGTCACCTCTCTGCTTCGTATGTACGTACGTTGGACTTCTTACGCACCGTACGTAGCCAACCGTGCTAATCGGAGGTGCGCGTCCGTTCCCGACGAGCCCAGCGTGCGGCTCTCTCGCTGTGTCGGTCTCACCGCGGCGCTGCCGCCACACGCCGCTCCGTGCCGCGAGCTGCGTGCCCGGCTCGCTCGTCGGGGCCAGGTTCGAGTCCGTCGTTGTCGCCGCCCGTTCGCAGCCATTGGCCCATTACATGGGCGGCACATGGCGAGTTGAGCGC